AGTTTGCATGTTCCCTACTCACTTTGGGTTGATTTTAGGAACAGCCATTTGAATTTGGACTGAAACACACATAAGAAAATGCAGGTTTGTGAGTTATTGATTCTGATTATCTCTTCCTGAGCATGAAGTTGCATGAAGTACTGCAAAGTGAAACTTGAATGCCTTGGCATGTGTGTCAGGTGACATGGTGACTCGTAGCCTGCAGACTTTAGTTATTAAAGGTGTTTGCATAGTTTAGGTGATAACTATGGGCACTTGGAGCAAGCCATTGTCAGCCTGGTCTTGTTACTGCCCCTGATTATATAGAAATTAGAAGCAAGCTTAACATTTCCCTATGTCCTCTAAGAGTTTTATCTGTCAAGCAGTTTTTGAGCAAGCTTTAAAAGTCCCTTCATTGGATTTGGTTTGTAGTGCTGTAGGTCCTTTGGGAAAACAGTGTCATAGTCCCTTCTGCCCAATACTAGGCTTTCCAAAGCATAAAATAGCTATTTTGAAGAATCTTTCCTCTGAGGGGCCTGTCAGGCTGTGGTTTGAAAAAATCTCATGGTCTTTTGTGCCATGCTCATTTGAAAACTTGGCTGTACACGGGTGCTGTGGGTGCTCAGCAGTTTTGCTAATCTGGCTTTCATTTCAGCTCCTAAATCAGAGCTAAGCACTGAGTGGGGTTTTGGTAATGTAGGCTGGTTTTTGGAAATTCGGCTTTGGGCTTTTCCCAAGCCTGGCCCTGGGTGATTGAAATTAGTCATGACTTGGTTCAGTGTGGAGACATAAGTGTCTTAAGCCTGAGAATTAGAGAAAAAAGCCTCTGTGTGTTCAGGTGTAAAATGTGTCTGCAGCCTCCTTGTCCTGCTTTGTCACATTATCACTCACAGCTTCCAGTGGAGCTAGTGGCAGTTACCCAAAAATCAGGTCATGCTATTGCTGTGTGATATTCTGGACTCCCAGGTACTTGCAGCCTGTCCTGACACAGTGTGTGCACAGAGCCCGGGATTCCTGAAACAGGACATGGGACAATTCTGAAAAATTACATTTTCTAATAGGCACAAAATACTGAAACTTGGCCCAAAGCAGAGGGCCAGTATGAAGCATTTGCATCATTTCAATTCCCAAACAGTCTGCTGGTCTGAGAGCCACGGAGAACTTAAATAATTTCACTGTTTTTCTGTGGCCCTGGGAGGTAGAGAAATGCTAGAGGAAGAGGGAAGAGGAACTGAGCAAGTAGGGCAGACTAAAGTCTTCAAACTGACCAGTAATTCTGAATAATTAACTTCATGGTTGTCAGCTTTGGTTTCCAAAGCCTGTTCTCCAGACATGGTTAACAGTAGGCCTGCAGAAGGTGGAAAGTCCTTGTTCTTTAGCACCTCTGGGAAGAAAAATGCATAAAAAAATGTAAAGGAGCACATTGGAGCAAGGGCCACTGGGCAATATGCAAGAGCAATGCCTGGAGTGCCTACACAGCAAAGTTGGGAAGAACATGTAGTTGCTTCAGTTCAGTTTCCAGCCTGAGTAGCAAACTTCTTTCATCTGGAAGTCTCTTTGGAGTTACCTCTGCACATAAATTGTCTGATTCTTTCCATCAGCCAGAGGAAACACATATTTAATCCTCAGGGAAAATTCAGTTTAACGTGGATGTGCGAAACATGCACATGTAACATGTATGCCCACACACATGTATACATACTGCATATAAATATATAAGCCCAAAGCAGTGCAGAAAGCCCCTTCCTCCTGCCCTCCTTCATTTCTTTCAGACAGCTTGTCCATCAATTCTTCTGTTGGAACAGGATGGCACTGCTGGGAGGTGGGTCTCTTGCCCTCTCTCCCCACCAACAAAACCCCTTCATGAGCAAAATAGCTGCCTTGTGTGTGCAGGACTCCTGGCATTTTACAAAGTGTATCTGGAGCCAGGCTGGGCAAACGTTGGGAGCTGTTTGCTGAGTGCATTTATTGCCTTTGCATAATTTATGAGCTGGAGGGGTTTGACCATCATTCGTCTCTGCCAGAGGCTGGCACTGGGGGCTCTGGAGGATGGAGCTGTAAATTGGATGGTGTGCTCCTGCTGAGCTCACAGCAAAGTCCTCGGGTCAGTATGGGAATTTAATACCAGGAATGGAAGTGTTTTCTCAGAGTGCCATGTGGGCCCTGGTGCCGCAGAGGCTGTGTTGGCAGGCACAGCGACTGGCCAGATCGCGGAGCTGTCAGTCACTGGGCATGTTGTGAAGGGAGCCTGAGCATTTTTAATCGGCTTGGCATCCGTGCTGCTTCCATAATGGACACCAGTAGGTCTCAGTCCTTCGCCATATGCTTAACTCTGGAGACAAGGTGCTTCTGGGTATAGCAGTAATTATTTGATGCAGAATTAAGTGGACCTTGAAATTAGAACTGGACTGTTGGAGAGCAGGAGGCTTAACACTTTGATGGAAATAACTTCTCAGCGATGCCGCTCTGTGCGCTTCTCTGCAGATTCACTCTGCTGCTGGTAACTTGTTTTGCTGGCAAATTCAGATGTCACTGCTGGCAAGTATTCTTCTCCCCAAGTACGTCCACAGTGCAGAAAACACAAAACTCTGGGCTCCTTCCAAGCTTATGAGTTGGGAAAAACTTAATCCACAGCGGAGGAGAGATTCCTTAAACCAGAAAAAAATAATGGTGGGGGGAGGAGAGGGTCCCAGCAAAGTGCTGGGACCACAATTGGGTCACAGGACACCTGCACGTGTACCCAGCAGCAGGAGCAGGTGGCACCTTCAAACCCTCTGTGCCCTGGTGGTAAAAGGCAATCATTCATGCCTGCTTATATGTCGAATTTTTAGCTCCTTTCTTTCTCCTTTTGGATTCAGGTATTAACAATCAGGGCTTGTACTGCAGTTTGTCTGGAGGGTGGGCAGAGGACTCAAACAAAAGGAGCAACTGGTTGTGGGCTTCTGGTTTTGAAACATATAAAATGTGTCATAAATAATCATGTATCCTAATATACAGAGCACACAATGCAGGGACCCCAGAACCACAGGGCAGTGGAAGAAAGTGCTGGAGCCCAAAAGCTGAATGTTTCCAACAGCCGTAAAAGAGAGATAGTAAATGTGAAGTTGTTGTGACATGTTGTGGGTTTAATGGATGAAAATCCATGTGTGTGTTTGCTTTTTTGTAAATGTAGGGCTTTGCTTTGCAAACATACTCACCTGTACTTTTCCCTCATACCTGTAGCTACACTGAAGTAAAAATGTGTTTTTACAGGATAAGGATATGAGTACTTTAAATAAATACCATACCATTCTAGAAATGTGCCATTTTCCTTTTGTCAGTTAAGTACACTCTCTTCATTAGCTTGATCGTGTGTGAGAGTTTAAAAATTCAAGCTTAAACTGTCTTGTATCTTCACGTTCCATCTTATATGTTTGTTACCAGAGTATTTAGGTTCAACTAATGCAATAGAAATAACTTCCGTTACTAAATATATTTCACTTTCATATCTGTTTGGATTTCTCTGAAAGCAGATTGGAGTACTGTCTAATTTTTACTTCATTTTCAATTATTTGAAAAGTACCTAGAAATAGTTTTTAGCTTTAATTTTAGTGTGTTGCTCATTGGTTTGAAGAAGGCACCTATTCACCCCTGTACCAGTAAAAGCCAGTAAAAAAGAAAAGTTATAATTAAAGAAGTCGCAGAAGGTTGATTGATTTGTGCAAATCAAATAGATATATTTGTGGGTGGGTATGGCTCTGTCCATGTCCCACTGTACAGTTAACCTGTAGAATTCACAAAATATAACTGATTTCAAAGCAATTTGATTGTCTTCTGGAAATACTAAAAAGCACACTAAACAGGATACAAATGCATAAAAGATTTGACTGACTCCTGTAAGAATACAACACAGCCAGGTAGCCATGGATTTTGTTGGTGGTCTTAGGTTTTACTTCAAAACATCTGCCATGAGATCAGCAGAGGTCTGAGTTTGGCCTTGAAAGATACAGGCAATATAGAGTATAGTCCTATAGAATCTGAAATTGTAGTTGATTAAAAAAAGAAACAAAAAACAACCCAGAAGGAGGTGATTTCCTCATTCTTCAGTAGAGACAGCCAAGTGTGGCCCCTCCAGTTACCCAAATGAGGTGCAATGTATCGAATCTGTGTCTGAGAGAAGCAGCAAGGTGCAAGTAAGCAGCATGGTCCTTGCAGTTCTCTTTCTAGCACAGCTTTTGTACTTGTAGCAAATGTGTTTAGGGTTTCTGGTGCTTTATCTGTACTGACACTTGATTCATCTAGTCCTGCTGTATTTCTACAATAGTAAAATTGATTAAAAAATAGAGCAATGTCACTTGATGAATATAAAGATGCACTGGTGTTACTCTTCAGCTTTTTATAGTATTATAAAATGTTTCCTATGATAACTGAGCTACTCTTGAATTAAGAGAACCTCAATGAATCAAGTATTTGGCATGTTCTTGCTTCCACTGTCTCTGAATTCTTTAATTCAGGACCAATGAGCAAAGAGTTAGGGTGAAACTTCCAAGTAGTCCTGGAAAACAGTTGCTTTGCAAATGCTTCTCTGCTGGGACAGGCAAATCTAAGCCATTTCCAGACCCTCCCATCCAAGGAGCCTTTGGAGCCAGTGGATTGACAGGCAGCATGAGCAATACTGCCCATTGGAAGAGAGGACAACAGCCCTATAATGCTGATTTTCTTCTTCCCTCATCCCATTCTGGAGTCTAAATGTGCTCATGTACCATCAGCTCCTGTGCATGGACATTAAACTAACAGAGGGCTTTGCAAATGGCTTTTATTTCTGGTGCATTTTTTTCATCATTGAAACATGTAAATGTACCATCTTCAACAACAGTGTGGGGGAAGATTCCCACCCATACAGCAGTTGAGCTTTTTCCTTAGGGTGCCAGATTTGATGCCACAGGGTTTATGGGAGTTTCAGCCATTTTGTTCATAGAAATCTTTATTTTTTTGCAGTAGCAAGTTTTTCTTACCTGCTCTGTTCTCTTTTTGTGTTTCAGTGTGACAGCGACAGTGATCAAGAAGAAAAGGTAAGAAAGGAAATCAATATGGGAACGAAAATGATTTATTGGATTCAGTTATTCCCCTTATGTATTTAAAGTTTCTTTTTTTGGATTCATCTAAAATGTCTCTATACAAAGAAAATACTAGTTTTCCTTTAAATTTAATTTTAGAATAGACCTGTAAGGAAAGAGAGTGCTAGTGGATATTTTGGAGGCTACACAATTCCTCTTCAAGCATATTGATGCCCTTGTTTGTGTGGGTTGTTTATGAGCACCAGGCTCACTACCAACCCTTGCTATGGCTACATTTTGCCTTGGGAAATTCTGACAGCAAGTGGATATGTTTGTAACCCTCACATTTGGACTTTTTAATCGTTATTTAGCCACTCTTGTTGCCTGTTCTGCTTCTCTGCACACACAGGTCTTCAAACTCAAATCCAAGTGTTATTGTTTATATGTATATATCTATCTGTATCTACTTTTTTAGTAGAAACTGTACATTAAGTCAAGTGACACAACGTGCTGAGAATTATTTCAATAACTTGGGTTTCTCAGTGGAAAAAGGGAAAAAATTCAGGCTGCGGAAGAGCCAGGCACTGGTCCCTAATGCTGATTCTTGTTTAGAAGATTAACAGTAAGGAAGAACTAGTGTTCACACGGGTGCACATTTTAGTGTCTCATGTGAACAGACTAATACCTGCCTTCTCTCTTTTGCAAAAATGAAGTAGTCATTGCAGAAAAACTGGTCTAATTTCTTTATTTCCATGTTGGATTTTGTGATTTTCATTTGTATGTTGAGCTTTAAGGGATGTTTTGCTAATGTAGTCACTTTTGCCTCTTCTTTCACTGGTTAAACTTGGGGGATGGAAGTTGGGGGAGGGTGAAATACTGACAGAAAATGTTGTTGATGTAATAACATCAAGCTGTTTAGTTTCATGAGTGGTTCTGTTAAGCAGCTCCAAGTCAAGCCAAGAAGAAGAGAGATGACTATGCTGGTATGCAACTTATACAACAGAAAAGAACAAATATGTTGAAAAATCCAGAAGGAAACAACACATACAGAAATCGTCTTTCATTAATTTATTCAGTTTTCTGCAGGATTGTGTAGCAGGAAGCAAAGGAAATTTTCAAACCATCTGTATGAAGCTGCCAAGCTTTGCCCTTCAGCTTTTTCAGTAATTTCCCAAGTAGAGATTTTTTTCCTCGTGTTTCTTAATAATTTGCTGACTATGTTAAAGAACTACTGTTTACTTTGAACTGCAGTGATTTCCCTTTCACAAGGGAACTAATCACTGGAGTTAATCAGTGTGACAACAGAAAGGGGAGGTTTTCTTGGGTTTTTGCACAGAATATTAACCTGCACTTTTAGATATGAATTTTTAATGCATTACCATTACATTCCATCCTGTGAAGTGATTAGTCATTTTCAGGATGTTCCTTATGTAGTGGGAGATGATAAACTGAATTTCAGCTCCTATGTTTATGGCATCCAGAACTAGAAGTGTAATTTCCTGCCAGTGCTGCGTTCAGGGAGCTAAACCTCTGCTGAGCTTTCCTCTGCCAGCACTCCCATGTGCAAAGGCAGAGAGACAACTTTTGGGGACAGGACTGGTGTGTTGGTTCAGGATAGTTTCTGTAGAACAATACTAGAGAGATTCAAGATTGTACCTCACACAGAATATCCTGGTACTTGTGCAGGAAGGGTTTAAAATCTAGATGTGTTTTTCTTCATTGTGATCTATATTTCATCTTCTCCCCCCCTATGATGAAATGAGATTAAGTGCAGATCCAAATATTCCTGATAATTCAGTGCTTTTCAAATCCCAGCACCAGATCTATCTGAGTTTTATAGCTCAGGCCCAGTTCTAAAAGATGACAGCTAACCCTAGTGTATTTCTGCAGCCTGTGCTGGCAGCCTAGGCAGAGATCTAAAGGCCTTATTCTGCTCTTAATTTGAATTCAGCATATGTAGCCTGTTATAAAATGCGAGACATCATCATTTGAGCAGGTCAAGCATATTCAGATGAAGACAAATGGTGCTTATTTGATTTTCTTAAAATCAGGAAATGAAAAAAGTGCTCTCTGGAGAAATCATGTTCTGCCTGACTTAGATGATAGACCAAGGCATGTACCCCAGATAAGAACAGGCGCTCGTCTTGCGGTTTTTATCTCTGAAGGACGGTCGGGACTGTCAGCTCGCTGACATGTGCATTATCCATGTCATTTTAAACAAAGTGACCTGTAGAAAAGTGCACTCTGCCGTGACATGATAATGGGCTGTTGGATGACAGGTAAAGTACACACTATAAAGGAGGCTCTGCGTTATTCCTTTGTTTAACTGACAAGTAGAAACTTCTTTTCTCCAGACAGGCAGGATCTTTTAGATCTCTTTCAATAAGACCCAGAAGATTTTTGAATTCCTGCTTTAAATAAACTAACATTTTTAGGATCAAAATTCCTAGGAGCAAAATGCACTGGGAGCAGTGAGAGTGCCAGACCTCTGTGCGAGAGGTTGATCATTTCGTAAATAGTTCTCAGCACCCTCAGCTTTCAGTAATAACCAGAGGAGCTGAGGGTACTCAGCAGGATTAGAAGTTCTAAGATCCTTGACCCAAATGCCTTATATCATGAGGAGGGTATTAGCCACCAACTATGGAGCTGTTCTAGTAGCAAATTGTCAAATTGTACTTGGTCAGTCCAATGTCAGTGTATTCTGAGCATTGTGGAGTTACTCTTCTCCCACCAGAAACATTTTTGCCTGAAGTGTTTATGGGAAGAGAAGATCTACTTTTCTTGAGGACCATCTCAGACAGACTTGGATACTGTCAGGTGTACAGAATATGTGGTATCTTGCTGTACTTCACTTCTGTACTTGCTGTTCAGAAAATGCAAAGGAAATAATTGTGCTTCATTTAGGATGTTCCTTTAATGTGCCTGGGAAATAAGAGATCCATGAATGGCAGAAGTAGCACAAGACAGGGTGTAGGAATGAGTGTGTGTGCATTTCTACTAGAATAAGTAAGACCTGGAATCCAGAAAGACAGACCTTTGAAGAAAAAATGGCAGATCGGAGTGATCAAGGTGGGTGACAGGTAGAGGTGGCTGAAAGATGAGTCAGTTCAAGCATGACTAGATGGGCCCAGAGCACAGGAAGGAGCAGGACCTGGGAAACCAAGGAGCAGATGAATAGTAGCAAAAGTAATGTCTCCTAGGCTGTTCTCATTCTTTTTTTTTTTATCCTCTTGAATATGTATCTATATGGTGGTGTAAATCATTGCTGATATCTGATCTGTATTAGGTGATGGCTGTGCCTCCAATCCATCTTCCCTAGCCTTTAATTGGGGGCCAACAGACAGAGTCACTTTCTGTCTATGTCTGTCCTCAAATGAGACATTTCTCCAGAGGTTTCTTGAAGACGAAGAAGAAACAAGGATATTTAATTGAAAAATTATGCACTGCTGCTTAGCAGTACTGTAGCTAAGGCTGTGTCAGTATCTCATTTTTAAATGACATGGTTTGGGTGGATAATTTATCTATTTATATAAATTCATGCTCCCTCATTCCATTCTGGCACATAGTGCTGAACTGGAGCATTCAAAGGAGCCATTTCAGTCTCCTGTTGCTAAAGAACCTGAAGAGATGGCAAGTATGGCTGTGGAGGGGGAGTATATTTGGAGGACTTGCATCAGAATGCGAAGCACTAATTCTTAGAGAGATGTCAATTTCCATCCTGGGATCCTTTCAGCAAATGCCACTGGGAGTTCTTACTGAATCAGAAAAAAGTATGGATCCCAGGGGAAGTCAGATTTTCTCCATTAAAAAGTCTGTCAGTCTTACTCTTTGAGCAGGTCTCCAGAGCTGATAATCTAAAATTAGGGCAAGCTATTGCACAGCTGACAGATTTAAGTGCAACTATATTATCTTTGGGTACGTGGATATGATCTTTAAAATTATACCCATGGTAACTAATCCAATGTTAAAAACAGGAGTGCAAACATACAGTTCCTCTTCTGGAAATAAAAAGAAGTCCTGTTTTGCAAAGAGGAACAAACAGGAAGTCAAGCACTAAAGATGAGGTAAGGGGTAAGGTCCTTTTTTATTTGCTATGTCTACCATTTCCTCTCACCACTCTGTTTAATTAGATTGATTTTAAAATTAAAGCTCAGTCTGAAGCACTTTAGTGATTTTTTACTTCTTAGGGAATTATTTCATTGATTAAGTGGGACTGCTTTGCCATGTGCACAGAGTAGTCACTCAGGCCTCCAAGAGGTGAAGGGGCCTGCTTCTTGCCTGAATTTTATCCAACTTGGATATCAAACTTTAAAAAAAATGTACTGCATCTGATGATTTAATTCTCAGTATATCTTTGTGGTACCAAATGATTTCTCTCTTTATGAGGCTCTTGAATCCCACTAAACGTGTTCTCCCCCAGCCCAGCATCTCTGGCTACTTACAGCTACAGCTCAAGCCCTACTGAGTGTTTATTCTGACATGTACTTTGCTTTGAGTGGACTTTGTGTAGGATGCAAAGAGAGGAAAGAGGTCAATCAAACCAGTGGCTAAATTTGCAAAGCATTGGCATATGGTCAGAGGGGAAGACCAACAAAGCTTACCCCAGCCTGGGAAGGCATTAGGTTTGGGTGGCTGTTGTGCTTACTTAAGAAGCCTCTGCTGGTGGGAGTATGTTGCTTTTGAGACTTCGTGCATTTTCTCTGGGAGTGCCACTGAAAGCACCATGAGAGCTGAAGAATGATACTTCTTGCATCACAATGTTTTAATGATAATGCTAATACACTTGGTTGCATATAAAAGAGCTACAAACCAAAGATTATGGCATGGAAAATACCACCAATCACTCTGGTGTGCTCAGATGAAAGCAGTGGTTACTTATGTCTGTCTATACACGCACAGGGGCATTGACAGTGCACCCTGTGTGTGTTTCTGAAGTGCCTTTGGGCATTTATTTTGTGTATGGCCTCTGGAGAGAGATTTTGGAGTAGCATTTTGGCAGATGTGTGCTGTCCAAT